CCTCGCCCACCCCCCCCCCCGGGTGGTGGGTGGGGGGGGGGGGGCACAAGAAGCTGGGAGGGGACACAGCTGGGACAGCTGATTCCATACATCATACTCAGCATATAACCGCTACACGTGATGGAACCCTGCTTTCCTGGTGTTGTGGTTTAACCCAAGCCCATAATAAACATCGCACAGCCGCTTGCTCACTCCCCCCGAGTGGCGTGGGGGAGAGAATCAGAGGAAAAATGTAGGAGAAGGTGTAGATTGAGATAAGAACAGCTTAATGATTGAAATAAAATACTAATACTACTAATAAATTGTAATAAAAAGTAAAACAACAAAACTCAAGAAGAACAACTGATGTACCCCCTCACCACCACCAACCAACACCCAGCCAGTCCAGAGCAGCAATTGCACCCCCTGGCCAACTCCCCTAGCTTATATACTGAGCATGACGGCTTACAGTATGGAATATCTCTTTGGCCAGTTTGGGTCAGCTGTCCTGTCTGTGTCTCCTCCCAGCTTCTTGTAGAGAAGAAGCTGAGAGGGCAGGGACAGTGTGAGAAGCTGAAAAAAATCACTGGCTTAACATAAATATTTCTTGGCAACAACTAAAACATCACTGTGTTATCAACCTTGTTCTCAGCACAAATCCAAAACATCGCCTCACAGTCGGCTACTAGCTACTATAAAGAAAGTTAACTCTATCCCAGCTGAAACCAGAGCACCTGGAGATGGCTGAACACCTGCCTGATAATTGGAAGTAGTGAATTAATTCCCTGTTTTGCTTGCTTGTGTGTGCAGCTCTTGCTTATTAAACTGTCTTTATCTCAACCCACAAGTTTTCTCACTTTTACTTTTCTGAGTCTCTCCCCCATCCCACTGGGGGGGGAGTCAGAAAGTGGCTGTGTGGTGCCTATTGCCAGCTGGTGTTAAACCACAACACACAACTTAAAAAAAAATATTTTTCTCTCTTAAGCAAATACTAAAAAAATGTTTATAACAGCTAAACATCATGATGCAGGTTTTGCTGCTATTGCATTTTTGCCAGTGCCTAGTCAATGTATTCTATGAGATACTCTGGATAAATCTGCTGCTTCTCAAAGATGACAAAGATGGAAGGGTTTGAAGAGCTATTCACGCAACTGTCATAGAAGTTTTGGTTGTCCTTCAAGGGAGGCCGAACATAATGAGATTTACCAACAGTGAATTCCCCCACGAGCACTCGTGCCAGAAACATGGTCTTGGTGTATGAGTCTTCCCTGCAGTAGTTGTCTGAATAAGATGCATCCCTTGCAAAATAGCTTCCTTGAAAAGAGACAACAGGACAGAGTTGTTAAGACACCAAAATTGCAAGGAAGGAAGTGATAGAGTGTGAAACTGAATTAATAAGCAAATCCATTAAGCAGTTCATGAACAGCCTTGCCAAAGCCTTCACTTGTCCTGTATATCCTTCCTATTGAAAATGACCACTATGTATTACTTATACTTTTATTTATCACAGCACACATATTTAAAAGCCACACAAGTAATGTTTTGAATTTTATCATATTCCTCAAAAAGATTTCCTCCTGACCCTAGATGTCCATCTTACTCAATCTCACTCAACTTCTTCTCCTGGCAGAGGCTACTAATATTCATTAGAACATTTCTGAGAGTTACAAAGCATTCAATCAAATGGGTGGTTAGTCAGTCAGTCAGCCTGTCAGTCAGGCTATTCTACTTGGTATGTTGATCCTTTCCTGTAGGCAGGAAAATGTAAAGGAATACGAGTTGCTAACAAGGCAAAAAGCCTGTAACCAGGATAGCATTTATATTACTGGGGGGGGGGGACAAACAAAAAACCCCCCACCCCCCAAAAAAACAAACCACACCAAAAAATGCCATATTCCCTTCCTGTACGAGCTTGAAGAAATTGGAACAGAGAAGTAAGCCTGGACTGTAAGAGAAACTGTTCCTAGAACTGGCCTCTCTTAAGTCTGTGTTTTCTTGCAAGGGCAGAGTGGACCATAGAGACCAAGACCTTTCACAGTATGCCCTAGCTTAGCTCCAAATGATCATTGCCAAAGCCTTCTATGTTGACTACATCACCGCAGAAATAAGCCCTAGATTGGCCAAGTGCCCTCTTTCTAACTTTATACCTCTGTAGTAACTACTGAGAATTTTTTAGCAAGCCTAGGGTTAATGAAAGAGCTGAAAAAACACCTTTGCCGTAGACTGTCCCATGAAGGCCGCAGATCCTCCAGTCAAAGTTTTGCTGACAGATGGCATCAATATATTTTTTACTGGTCCCATGGAATAAAAATCGCTCATCCACAGCCTTTCCACCATTGCTCTTCTGCATTTGTTCCTTCTGCCTGAAATATGAAGCAGCATCTTCGCAATTCCACAGTGGCTGTACTAGCAGCCATACTAGCACTCAGAAACAATTTTACACAAGACGTACATTCTGAAAATCCTTACGTTAAGGCCTAAACTTTGGGCATAAAGGGTATCTTGCTGTCTAGCTGGGTACAAACATGCTTTCATTATACACAAATGGTTCCAGATATTTAATAATAAAAATGTTTTGTTTCATTCACTGCCTATTGGGAGAGGGGTGGAATGTTACCGCTAGTTTTTTTCTAAACAAAGGAGTTCATGTTAAAGCTGTGAGTTTTGCATTTAATTTTGAAGGCTGTTTCAGTTTTGACCAGCTACAAACCAGTGTTTGTGCCAGATGTGACTGATTACCAGCTTCAAAGCTTCTGTGGAAGGCAGCTGTCCTGGACACAGGCTTGGCAGAAGTCATAATCACTTGGGAGCAAAGATTCCTCCCACAGTCCTCATCGGACTATTCTAAACTCTATGTCTTGATTGAGTTTTGTTTTTGTCGGTACCTCTTTATCTACATGCTGATCCTGGCTAAGTATTTCAGTGGGGGAGTGGAAGCAGATTCCTAAATGCAGCTGCATTTAGGAATGCAAGCGTCTATCTTTGGCATACAGCTAAGTGCAGAAACAACAAACTTCATGCACACGTACCAGAGCAGTATTTTACACATACCACTGATATAGTGCCCAGAGAGATGGGTTCTGAACTCTATGAATCCTTTCAATATCTGTTTTGGGCATTGTGCGTTTGAAGTCCACCTTGACTTTCTTGTACTCTTCAGAAGAATGGTCAAGCTCAATCAGCTGTAAGGAAAAGATTAAAAAGCTACTCTCATCTTTTACTAAAACATAACAAAGCCACCCTACCTAGTGCACTACTCAGACCTTTAAAGTCTTTTCTGTGAAGCAGAGGTATCAGCAGCAAAAATACCCTTGAAAAAAAGCAGATTAGAGATCCCTCTTCTGTAAAAGTGAGCTCTTTCCTAGGGAAAGTTAACTTCTGGGGGTTAAGACACCCAGGTTGCTCTCTCAGGACACTAAAGGAGCTGCATGCCTTTCTGCAGCCACCCAGCCCCTTTTAATATTTGGCCCAAGATATATTTGCATGCATATATCAAACAGTACCTAAATACATAGAAGAATGAGCACATAAACTAAAAAAAAGAATGGGGAATTTATGTTGCAGCAAATCAAAGAGTACCTCTATACCCATGCTTTTTAAATCTTTATATACTCCCTACAGCCAGTGAACACAAACTGCTCTGCCTGTTATGTTTTTAAATAAACTGAAAAAGCTGTAATTGCTCAACCATTTTAGGGAAGAGTAAGGACATACTGCCAAAAATCAGTTCCTTACATGACAGTCCTGAAAGCAAGCAAAATTTTCTACTTGCATGTTTTCCCTAGGAACATCAAGAACATCAGTGTTAGCCTTCCCTATTTTTTAGTAACATTTCTTTGAGGATTTGCATTTTGCAAGGTAGTAATTTTAAAGCTTCATATAAGAAGATCTTTTCTGTAGGTATAGTTGCTGGAGTTGACAGAGATGGTGGTGTTGACAGGCAGGAAGTCAGCAAAGGTAAACCATGCAGATATTAACTGGGTGTGTTACAAAGGTAAACAAGTTCACTCCACTGGAGTTATGGTACATTTTAATAAATATCCCAGCATGAACTCTGCTGATTTTAAAAATGCTCCGTAGACATACAAACAGTCTACTTACACACAGCTCAAGGAATGGCTACACTAAGTTTAGCGACAGGACTTAGCTCTGATGCTTCAGCACATGCTGGACTTCAAACCTATGTATCTTGGGCACCAGCAACAGTTTTGCTTATACAGCGTAAGCTTCAGGCATATTTGCCAAGGCAAGAGATAAACAGTAGCAGTGAAAGTCTATGTTGCCATGGTTACAGTGCCACTGTTTTGTTAGTTTAAGTTTGGTTCTAGTTTTACCTCTACGTCTGCCCAGTGTGGTAGCAGGCTCACATTTACCAACACCTCTGCGTTACACTACACAAAAAAAAGTCATCTACAAAGTCACCAGAAACACTGAACTTGTGATGTAACAAACTTGTGATGTAACAAACGTGTATACAACAAAACTGATGGAGAGAAAAAAACAAAAAACTCCAAACCTTGAATCCCAGTTCAGGCAGGGCAGATTTGTCCCAGTGAGCTGGAATGCCCTTAAACGCTTCTGTTTGTTTAAAGCCTCTGTACGTTACAAGACAATACAAATAGGTAATCAAAACAAAACAAATCCCTATATTCTATGTACATATGATACTAAACATTTTTTCCAAGTTTAGGGCAAATACAGGCAACTGAACATATTCAGAAATATTTCAAAATTGTCTTTTCAGTTCAGTACATGAAAATATTTGTTCTAAACTATCCTGTCAAGACTTATGGCAGGAAGCAAGATGCCAAATGAGAAAAAAAAAAGATATACACTGAACTAAACATGAAAGTATTTCTCTTAGTTGCAAAGAATTGAATGTATACATAAAAGCTCTGCTACAACTGGGGCTGATAAATAAAAATGCATCTAGTATCATATCAGTATGACAGAAACAGGATAGATACAGCCCTCCCCTCTACTTCCACCCCAATTTTAATCAGTGCATTTAGCTGCTCTTTTCTGTATTGTTTAAGCAAGCAATGTGTGCTGCAAGGGAATGCACAAAAAAAAGTCAGCTGTTACATGCAATTGTATAAAACTTTTCCCCTTGCAGACTCCTACCTTTTGCTCCACCTGTAACAGCTATTACTTTCCTCTCAGATTGTCTGTCTTTTCTCAAAAGTGTTTCTAAACTTGTACTTACCTTTGAAAACTACTGATCTCAGATGTCAGAAAAGGCTAGTATGCATAAACATTATTGCTTCCATCTGTATCAGCTGCTCTGATAAGATAGCTCCCTCTAATGAGCAGCCCCCTACAACACTGCTACATGTTGAATTATTTTCTATTCTTCCACAATTTCTTTGGCCAAGCCCAAACTTCCTTCACCCCCAAGGCTCCTGAGTTGCTTGAAAACTGTCGTCCAGGCTGCAATACTGCCCTGGCTAGACATAGTTGTAGGAAAGGTATTTCCCTTCTCAATTTCTTTTACAATTGCCTTAACAGCTACTCCTTCACCTTATGTACACCCTTGGAAAACACTACATTCACAATGCACTAAATCCATCACCTCAGAATGAGCAGTTGCAGTTTACCTTGCTCTTGTCTGTTCTACCTCTGTCTGAGAGACAAATTTAGGTCTTCTGCAAATCTCTCTCTCTGTTGTGTAGCGAAGGTTTTTCTGAATCATAGCTGGGGAAAAAACAAACCAAAACCCTGAACAATCTGAAAGATATTTTAGAAAGCCTTCACACTGCAGCAAACCTAGCCACGAAGTTGCTTCATCAAAAAAAGTTGACAAAAAGGCATCAAGGTTTTTTTCTCGCTACACGAGAAGGGAAGTCAGAGAACAATGTGGAACCCATGGTCTATCTGTATAAATCATCAAGAAGGATTTCAGTTTCCATTTCACTCTTAACTTCAGAAGGAATGATAGACACTGGTAGCTATTTTCCCTTCATTGTTCCATCAGCCACACTTAACCAAAAAAGATCATTGTAAAACAAGTATCTACTTTTGCTCCATGGATTGCATCCCCTCCTTCTCATTCTGCAATCAAGATACCATTTTCCTACATGTAGCTGTAGATTTCAAACCCTACAAATGCAACCTAACAGCTATCACAGGCCATTAATTTTTATTGACCACCAACAGAAGCAAATCACAGCAACCTGCATTTTAGAGGCATTCTTTCTGGATCTTTGAACCTGTGTAGCTACTGCCACATCATACTAGCAACTAAGGGTCAGTAGCAGCCAGGAGAATGAGGCCTCATCTTCAGAGAGAGATACACAGGAAGAAAACAAACAAACCAACCAACCTCTTGGCACCACCAAGCCTATAAACTAAGTTCTGGAAGACATCTACATTGCATAGGTTTGCCTAAGTTACTGAAAAAGCCCAAAGCTTAGAAAAGGGATTGATTTACTACGTAATTTTCCTTTTTAAGCCAGACAAGTTTCTCCAGTCTATGAAGAAGATTACAGCACTGCTTTCAATTGAATCACAAAAAATATCACATGCCCTTTCTCCTTGTTTGTTTGGGGGGTTTTTTTGGTGGGTTTTGTTTATTTTTTTTTCCCATGCAGAATGAGATAGTAATGGAGAGTTGGATCAAAGGCAACTACACCAAAATGACAGTCTAGTCAGGCTGCTTCCCACCACCACTGTTCCCCATGGTTTTTGAAGAGGATACCTGGAAAGGCAACAGCTCAGAGAGGACAGTACCATCACAAGTGGTACTTGGGAAACACATCTTCCTACTTCGACATAGTCAAGGTATTTCCTCAGCCTTTCCAGATAGGCAATGCTATGAAAACAAAATAGCTCCATAAATCTTGCAATGCTAAGGATTGTCTGGACCCTACACCTTGCCCAAGCATTCATTTTTCTGCAAGCCAATGATTAAAGCAGACCAGAAGCTGGCTTGCCAAGTCTTCCAGAAGTTTCTCGCTATTTGTGTTAGTGCTAGCACCAATGGCAATGTCACACTTGGACTTGCTGGCAGACATTTCGAAACCCAGCACAAGAACTTCCAAAAAGGTTTGGAGGAATAGGAATGCCACTTTGCTTATGGGAACAGTTCTTATCCTGAGAACTTTGACAGAAACTCTCCATAAGCATTGCAGTTCAAAGTTCAAATTTTTCTCTCCTATCTCCTGTAGTAATGTAGTCTAAAACCACAAAAGTCCTGGGAGGGAGAGACAAAACAAAAAAAACAAAGCAAATGGAACCTACCTCCAAAATCGACTTCATATTCATGTCTTCCAGCTTTGAAGTTCAGCTTTGGAGTACATTTGGCTATATAAGCTTTCTCCAGGTCTTCGCTGGAAACAGTGGCAGCTGCATGATCATCATCCTGTCAGGCCAAAACCAGAAAAAAAGAAGATTCTCCTGCTCTGTTATGTACAAGTAAATTTTAAAACCAACAACTGTAATATGGTATGGTGGCTGCAGTATGTATCAGGTTTTGGGCATGATAGTAGCTATCAGGCAAAAGCCATGTATTAAGCAGCTGAAACTACCCCTAAAACAAACCAAGCAGTGTTATGAATCCTGAACTTACACTGAAAAGTGCATGCCGTGAACGCTGCTACTGAGACTGCACATTCCCCAACTAGACCTTCGCAAAGACGTGCAGAGTACTGCTGGAACCTCAGAAAAGGAACTTTTGGTCAGGAGCAATGAAAAGAATGTATTAATGTGATCCTATCTGACATGACTCACTGAAGAATTATCTGTTAATAATATGTGACTCACCAGTGAGCATTCCTCTACCTGAACCAATCAAATTCACAGGGAAAAGATCCCATTAGGCCTCTAAAGTCCATCTGTACAGCATGAGTGAGAAGGAGGGAGGGAGAGGGTGACAAAAGAGGAGGAGGATATAAACACACTGCACTTTTCAGTAGTTCTGCACTTTCAACACAGAGTTCAGAGTCTCCCCATTTCACCACACTTACCTTTTTTCCATACTCCTGCCACAGGCCATAATCATCTTTCCAGTACCAGATCCATTCTGTTGTAAGAATGAAGTGAGGGGGTTTGGTCACAGAGGAAGCTGTAGAAAGACGTCTAACCTTCCACTGTGCAAACCCAGCACACATAGTCAGAAAACAAATATCTGACATGAAAAAGCCATTTCCAATAACCTTCTGATATCTATAAAAAAAAGTAGAAAAAAAAAATCAGAAACTGCTTTACACATAGGTTCAGAAGCCCATCACAAATTTGCAAATTAAGTCAACATCACTCAAAAGCAGAACAGAAACCTACAGTTTCCACAACAATCCCAGCTCTGTCTTGTATTTGCACATAATTTGCATTACAGTATGTCTCACATTCATTCCATGGGCAGTAACCATTATCAACTCCTAAATTAGAGAGTTACATAAGTGTGCTGGTTTTGGCAGGGATAGAGTTAATTTTCTTCACAGTAGCTAGTATGGGTCTATGTTTTGTATTTGTGCTGGAAACAGCATTGATAATACAGGGATGTTTTAGTTATTGCTGAGCAGGGCTCACACAGAGCCAAGGCCTTTTCTGCTTCTAACACCACCCCACCAGTGAGTTGGTTGGGGGTGCACAAGAAGCTGGGAGGGGACACAGCTGGGACAGCTGACCCCAACTGACCAATGGGATATTCTATGCCATATGACATCATGATCAGCATATAAAGCTGGGGGAAGAAGAAAGAAGGGAGGGACATTCGGAGTTACGGTGTTTTGTCTTCCCAAGTAACCATGATGCGTGATGGAGCCCTGCTTTCCTGGAGATGGCTGAACACCTGCCTGATGATGGAAAGCAGTGAATGAACTCCCTGTTTTCCTTTGCTTGTCCATGTGGCTTTTGCTTTACCTATTAAACTGTCTTTATCTCAACCCATGAGCTTTCTTGCTTTTACGCTTCTGATTCTCTCCCCCATCCAAACTAGGGGAGAGTGCGCAAGCAGTTGTGTGGTATTGAGTTGCTGGCTGGGGTTAAACCACGACAATAAGATGAACAGGAACAGTAGAAATGTACATTACCTTCTTCTTTCTAACCAACTACTGTCTAAACAGAACACCGTCATAAGTTAAGCACGGCTTCAAAGAGCCTCTAACGTAACATAAGAGGGCCAGGTAAATTCCCCAGCATGGAACACAGCATAGAGTTATGAGTCCCTTCCAATACCCTCTTCGTGCTACATAACCAGTTCCAAACTCTTAATGGTATTTCCATAATCTTAATGTTCTCTGCACCCAAGAGTATCTCCCTCTCCAGGTACACAAGGTATTCTACCAGTTCCACAATACAGACTGGGAGAAAAAGGGGTGGGAGGGGCAAATCTCATGCTACCTTTCCATCCTCCATAACAAAAGGTAAAAGAGCAGGTTACTTCTAATTGTGGGGTCCAGCTGTGTATTGACAAGCTCTAACCAGAGACAGATTCCCACAAGTAAGTGTGATAAAATCACCATTCTCTGCAGTTTTACAGCCATTCTTAGCGAGGATTAAGACTTCCTATGTTAGCAGCAGTAGGAAGCATTTATATTTTTTTTTTTAAGCAAAGAATAGAGTCTCCATGTCAGTCACATACAGTCACATAAAATAACTGCAGTGGATTGACCCTGGCCAGCAACCAAATACCCACACAGCAGCTTGCTCACTCCTCTTTCCCCTCCCTTGCATGACAGAGGGTAGAAAATAGGAAGGGCAAAAGCAAGGAAAGTTGTGTGTCAATATAAAGGCAGTTCAACAGGTGAAGGGTGGGTGGAGGTGTAAATAAACAAACAAATAAATAAATAAAGCAAAGCAAATTGCTCACCACCTCCCCAGGCAGTCTAATGTCCAGACGGCTCCCAAAGAGCAACCACGTGAGAAACCAAAAACCCAACCCCCTTCTTCCTCTGTCCCAGGTTTTATTGCTGAACACGACGTTACATGATCAGGAGCAGGGCAGAGTGGGAAAAAAGAGAAAGCCTTGAGTCTGGGCAAGCACTACTCAGCAACACCTAGAACACTGGTGCATTATCAGCACTGGTTTAGTCACAAATCCGGAACACAGCATTATACAGGCTGCTATGAAGAAAGTTAAGCCTATCCCAACCAAACCCAGTACGGTAACTCAGATGGTCCTATATGGACTCCAGGCGTAACTAAGTCACAATGGACCAGATCTCCAACAACAGTAGATCAGCAAAGCGAGGTCAGTAGAAGAATACCGAACGAAGCTACTTATGCCACGACTGCAATAGAATCGTAGCAATTTATATCTACTAAGGGCCTGGTCCAATATATCAAACTCCAAACATTATTACATTTTGTAAGAGTTTATACCTGGCGTTATGTGGGTCACAATATGCTTTTTCTATTTCTTCCATATTATCCAAGTCCCTCCAGGCACTACCATCAGAGTACTGCCATCTGTATGGCAAGTGAAAGTGAGTTCTGGTACACTTGTCTATAAAAAGTTAAAAAAAAAAAAAAAGAGAGATATGTTATTTTTACAGGCTATGAGGAAAAATCCAATGTTTCAGGGCTGTACACCTAGCTGGTGAAAGCATCAAATGCATAGCTGTGGAAAGTGTTCACCTATGGAATCAATACAAGCAGTAGCTCAGAATTTTTCAGCATGACCAAGCAAAACTTAATTTTTGAGATTAGGCAGTTCAGTTTCTGTACCTACTAGATTCTTGTTGTGCAATAAAATTGCTAGCAGGAGCTCAGTGGTGAAGGACCATTCTGTCTTTTCAGTTTCAGAGACAAAAATTTACAATGAATCGAGATCACAAGCTCATATGAGGCTATTATTTCATATACAGAATAACAGTGTAGACTCAAATAACTATGCTTAAACACTTAGTCCCAAAGTGGTATTACTGAGGCAAAAAAAAAAAACACAACAAACAAAACAAAACCAAACAAAACAGTGCTTAGTTTTAGGATAGGAGGTAGATAATTTAGGGACTTCAAGAATTCTCTAAGGGTCCTGGCCTCACCAGGACCAATAGTGGTAGCAGTGGCCCAGGTATCACAAGTGCTACTCAGAAATCCCTTGAAGAGTCAGTATGCAGTCACTCCTCTATAGGAGCGAAGCTCACATCACCAACACACATTTGCATAAACTTGAGGCTAACTTTCATGGTAGAACAGGGAACTTAACTACAGGGAAAGCCAAGGAGACTGCACCACACAGTTCATCCGAGAAGGTGTGCAGTACATCAGGGAGCTACTACAGGTTAAGAACATCAAGAAGGAAAAAAAGATGACCAAAGGACACTCCAACAAGAAAGCTGGCACAGAAGCCTTTTGCTGGACAAATTGGAACATTTTGAAAGGGAGACAGCTCAGACAGATGGAAGAGTGCTAGAAGAAACAAGAAAGAATGTAGACTTCAGAGTATCTTCTGTAGCTATTTGGAAATAGGACTCCTATCATTCAGTAATCCCTTAAGTGAACACAGGTGAGGTAGCCACTCTCCAACACAGGCTGATATTACACACTTCAGAGCAAAAAACAAAACAGCTCCTTTGTTTGGCATATTAGGTAGGTCAAACACTTTCCTACCAGCACTCAAGATTACAATGAGATTTAACTGAAGATAAGCATAAACTCTGAAGTTTCCCCTTTCTCAGAAGGATGTCTGTCCCTTTCTCTTTATAAGCAAATTAAAATAGACTGGACTTGCTACAGTCACAACCTACCTTTAAAGCCACAACGCCTGTACAGATGATATAAACAGATCTGCTCCAATTCATCATCATTTGTAGTTAAGGGGTCTCCGGTGGAGCTGTGTTTTCTTTCTAGAGGGGGGAATTATAAGCCTTATTAACACACTTTGTTCCAACAAGCCTAAAGGTGCACCTGTGGGTAGGGAAGATGCACAAAAACAGCGTTTTTAACTATGTAACTGCTTTCAGCTCCAGAGAGACCCTGAATCAGTCTTTGACAACCTTGTATACTCAAAAGTCCCATCCCGTTATCCATTCTTTCTAAACCTGACTTTCCTGTAACTGCTAAATTCCTCAAGTGCAGTTTTTAGCTATCACTGCAAAATAAGAATAGAATCCAATGCCTTTGCATTTCTAGATGGACTTGAGTTAACCATGCCATAGCTGTTCACATTGTCAGCTATAAAATCTGAAGTCTCAAAATTTGATACTTCTGTAAATTAAAGCACACCTAAGAAAACAAAGAAGGTAAGAAGGAACTGCAGGGAGAATAGCAGAGATGAACACACACACTTGGATTTTCCATTCTGTTATCCTTTTCTTCCCTGATAAATTATACTTAACTTACAATTCTAAGGAACTTCAGAGGAAAAAAACAAAAAAAAAATTACAACTCTGAGAAGTAACTAGAATACTTCTGTCTGTGAATTCTTGTGCTAGACAATAGCTACATTAAAGACAAAAATGGATAAAATAAGTAGTTTATAATCACACAAGTAAATGCCACCCCTTTTCTTAAACAGTTCTTTACCCTTGTTTATGTTTTTACCAAGAAAAAAAATATCTAGATCTCCTTATTTCCAGTTCCTGTTATGCTTTTCTAACCCCAATTTTAACATTTTTATAAACAGCAAATACTTTGTTTTTCAGGAACCCATAATGCCTTGAAATCCACTTCACTTGTCATGGCACAAATCTCTGTCAATGAGAGAGGTGCTAGGGTCCTCCTAAAAGGCACATCAAGACACAGATTCAGTTTTCTTTTTCTTGTTTCAGCTTTCTTTTTTCTGTTACATTCACTATGACTCTTCTGACATTTTCAAAAGATGATGTCATTTACCTTTGTATGGTGAAGACTTGGCATCTTCTATGTCATACATGTTCTTGTTGCCATTTTGTATGTCATACATATTCCTATAAATGGAGGGTAGTTTCTCAATAATGTTTGCGCTCATTCCCTGTCTCTCCAGTTTCTCATAACATTCTGACTTAAATAAGTCATGGGACCGCTTGCAGCTGCTGCCAAATCTGCACTGTCCCCACAAAAAGTACTGGCAAACATGCAGCTTCGTGCAGATTTTTTTATAGGTACAAAATCCATAAGGTCCATCACCTTTGTTATAATGCAAGCAAACCTTCAGTAGAGAAAAAGAAAAATAATTTAAAGTACAATGTGTTCATATAGACTGTCTGAATTAATGATTTTTAAATTTTTACAGCTACATGTTTACATTCGCATTTAAAAGACTTATACAAGTTTCTTCTTTCTTCTTGTTTTCCAAATGATTACTTTATAGTTTTTTATTTTCCCTGCTAATGTCTAGAAAGGTCTTTCAAGAGAAAACAGACACCTAACAGACATTTTCAAGTAGACGGGAGTAGATGGAATTTATTCTAAGTCACTGTCATGGTTTTAACGCAGCAGGCAGCCAAACATCACGCAGCAGTGTCCTGGTTTCAGCTGGGATAGAGTTACCTTTCTTCATAGTAGCTAGTGTGAGGCTATGTTTCGGATTTGTGCTGAGAAGAAGGCTGGTAACACGCTGATGTTTATAGTTGTTGCCAAGCAATGTTTAATTATGCCAAGGATGTTTCAGCTTCCCATGCTTTGCCAGTGTGCAGATGCACAAGAGGCTGGGAGGGAGCACAGCTGGAGCAATGAATCCACAATTACTGGCTAAAGATTCAAGCTTAGGTTTATGATTAAGGCCCAAATTGGCCAATGGTATATTCCATATCATGCATGTCATGCCCTGTATATTATGAGGGGGTATCTGGAAGCTCTCTCTCTTCCTCAAATGCTTGGGCTCTTCTCTCTTTTCTGGGATTGTGGTTTCAGGACCTTCTCTGCTCTGGGATCGTTAGCTAGGAATGGGTTGGGCCTTGGTCATTGGGTGGTGAAGAGCTGCACTGTGTATCACACATTTGTATATTATTATCATTATTATTTTGAATCTTATTGCAGTTTAGTTATTAAATTGTTCTTAATCCAAGAGCCTCTTTTCCCTTTACCCCTTTAATTCTCTCCCGCATCCCTGGGAGGGTGGAGGGTGAGTGAGCGGCTGTGTGGCATTTGCTGGTGCTAGCTGGGTCAAACCACAAGTGGCTTGCTCACCCTCCCCAGTCCCAGTGGATGGGGAAGAGAATTGGAGAGGTAAAGGAAAGGAAACTCTTGGGTTGAGAAAACAATTTAATAACCGAAATAAAATAAAAAATAATAATGATAATAAGAAGACTAGAATACACAAACAAATTATAAACAGTGCAATTGCTCACCACCCGCTGACCAATGCCCAGCCTGTTCCCAGCTAGCAATCCCGGAGGAGAGAAATCACAAAACTGCAGTCCTTGGAGAGACCGCTTTCTAGCCAACCCTCATGTATATACTAAGCATGACATTGTATGATGGAATATCCTATTAGCCAGTTTGGGTCCATTGCTCTGGCTCAGCTCCCTCCCACGTTCTTGTGCTGCACAACCATAAAACACGGGAAGCTGAGAAGTCCTTGATTTCTTAGCAACAACTGAAAACATCAGTACATTATCAACATTTTCCTCATATCAAATCCCATACTGAGTCCAAAGCACAGCACTATTCAGGCTACTAACAAGAACATGAACTCTATCCCAGATGGAACCAGGACAGTCACATAAATGTAGGTAGGTGGGTTTTATTGTGTCACTACTCTTTTGTTTTGGAATAGTGAACTTTTCTGACCTGAATTTGATGGTAAGAGGTACTGGATCTGGCTGGGATAGAGTTAACTCTCTTCACAGCAGACCTACCATGCTACGTTTTGGATTTGTGACCAAAGCAGTGTTGGTAACACACCAATGTTTCAGCTACTGCTGAGCAGTGTTTGCACAGTGTCAAGGCTTTCTCTTCTCTACTCCGGCCCCTCCACCCCAGACAGGCTGGGGGTGGGCAAGAAGCTGAGAGGACAGAGCTGGGACAGCTAGCCCAAAGTGGCCAAAGGGATGTTCCATGCCACACAATATCATACTCAGCAATAAAAAAAGTCAGGGAGTGGGGGCATGGGGCCCTTCCTACAAGGTTACCCTTGCTCAGAGACTTGCTGGGCATCGGTCTGCTTGTGGGAGGTGGTGACTAACTTCCTTTGCAACACTTGTTTTCTCCTTTCTCCATTTGCTAAACTTTAACTCCTTCCACAAGTTTTATCACTTTTGTTCTTCTTGTTTTCTCTCAACTGTCTGACTCACAGGGGAGTGAGTGAGGGCTATGTCAGTGCTTGGCTGCCAGATAGGGTAAGCCCATCACAGTCAAGAACAGAGGATGCAGATTTAAAGTTTTAGATTTGCATTATGCTAACTAAACTGACACCTAACATCTCCAGCCAGTATCAAGCCTCTTACGCTTTGTGATGCTCACTGAAACACAAGGCTAAGAAACTGCCACATTACTACTCACCTCTGGTAAGAGGGAAGGGTCATTTTGAAGCAAAAGCTGGCGAAGTTCATTGCTGCTGAAATTCTCAAGACCATACTGTTTTAGAACATAGACATTGTGGTCCGAGTGGAAGTTGTGAACAAACCTGCATTCCTTCCTACAAGTTAAGAAACCCAAGTGCAGAATTAGTGTAGACCAGCACTATTTTGCTACCCCCTCGGTATAACACAGAACAGTTTAAAAAAGCACACCAAACTAGCTAGTTTGAGAACAATCTGCTGTGCTCCTTTATAAAGTAATGATATGATTTGCCAAGATTACGTAATTACTCCGAGGATAATTACCACGCTCTTTCTGATTTGCAGTCATTACAACATTAGTGCAGTCTCACAACAACATCGGCATTTTTGACCTGCAGCTCAGAACCGTGCATAAGGAAACACCAGAACACAGCACAAGGCTCCTTCCCCCCATCGACAAGCACCCTCCCCCACTCCGCGCAGCACAGAGCGCTCAGACCGGCTGCCTGCGGGCGATGGGCGGGGGGTGGGCTGTGCAAAACTCTCCCCCTCGCACGGGCCCTGCGGGATGCAGCGCCAGAAGCAGCGGGGCCGTGAGCTGGGGGAGGGGAAGCGGTGCAACCCGAAGTCTTTGAAACAACCGTTTGTGCCTCTCTCCTTTGACAAAAAGAAAGAAGGGAA